TGGGGTTGAGTGTTGGAGGATTTCCTAAAGGTACATTTGAACCAGACCGGGACACCTTTCTGTTGAAGCACATTTTTTCTTATTGTTCTGCAGGGCAAAAGGATTGACCTAAAGAAGGGAAGATTCCCTCCTTTTGATTTTATGTAAATAGATGCAAACAAGGCTTTTTATGTACTAGAAGACCTACAAGGTCACTTCCAACTCTGTTATTCTATTCTATTCTGTTCTCTTCTCTTCTCTTCTCTTCTGGTTCTAGTCTAGTCTAGTCTAGTCTAGTCTAGTCTAGTCTAGTCTAGTCTAGTCTATCTAGTCTAGTCTAGTCTAGTCTAGTCTAGTCTAGTCTAGTCTAGTCTAGTCAGGGATTGGGAACAGAAACAAGTTAAATGTTTGAGTCTGGGCAATAACAAGTGTATGATTGGGTAAAGGAAATCAAGATCTAGTACAGTCAGTGAGGCAATTAGTTCATAAATACAATAATGACCCCCCCAACACCCAAAATCTTAATCTATCAATTTAGTGAGGGGGGCATGTTTTTGGAGGGGGAGAGTTGTGAGGGAGAAAAAGAGAAAGAGAGAGAGATATGAGAGAGAGAGAGAGAGAGAGAGAGAGAGACAGACAGACAGACAGACAGACAGACAGACAGACAGACAGACAGACAGACACAGACAGAGACAGAGACAGAGACAGAGACAGACTCTCATCAGAATTGCCCAAGATGAGAAGATCTGCCCAACTGCCCAGCTATCCAAAATATTATGGGCAACAGGAACATAGGAAGATGATGGAAGTGGAAGATCCTTTTAGTGCCAATAGCCAAGGCATGATTTCATATGTGCAGGAGAAGACAGTGGTCATTCATTAAGACTTCAGGGAAGGGAAATGTTAAATTACTCTCATATTTTAACAGGAAAATCACATGGTGAGAAAATATGAAATAAAACCTGGTTGAGGGAGATCTTCCCAAAGGAAACATCTGGTTTTATGTTGGCTAAAGAGTCCACACTAACTTGATAGCAAATAGCAAATAATCTCTTATCAATGAGATAGTGAGGCAAAATGAATGGGGTGCTTAAAGAATATGGGGATGGTATTTCATGAATGTTACCTTTCTTCTCCAATATTTGGGATACTTCTCCTCAGGAAAGTGAAAATTGTAACAGGGGAGTTCTCTAATAATTTAACACCATATAACTCAACTAAAACTTTGTTTTCCCTACAAAGAAGTTCACTGACAAGCTGCTCTTCCTTCTTATATGCTCTTCCTATCATTTAGCCAGAATCCGTTTTAATAATAATTATATATTATATGCTAATGTTTCCATTCCTATACACATTTTTAATAAATCTTTACTAAGATTTTTTTTGTACAGGAAAAGATAAATCCAAAGAAAAAGAAAAAGAAAAACTGCAAGAAATAAAAGTAAGAATAAACAGAAGTGAAGAAATGAATAACTTCCAATCTTCCTGTCAACAAATATTTACAAGCTTGTTACCCCTCACCTCTCTTAGATGTCATATTTCAGAATCACAATCACAATCAGAATTGAGCTGGAATGGGCCTTGGAGATCTTCTAGTCCAGCCCCCTGCTCAAGCAGGAGATCCATTTCCTGTAGATTCTGGGTTTAGAAAAAGCTGTGAGAGGAACCCTCGGGTGGAATCTGCTACGTTTGCGGGTGAAACATGGATTAAGTGTTATTGGTTTCAGACAAACCGAGTTCCAAGACAGAGGGCTTAAAGGTTGTGTAGCTTTTTAATTTTTAAACAAGTTTATAATCTCTTCATTCAGGGGCTGCCATAAAGAAGAAGGAGTCAAGCTATTTTCCAAAGCGCCTGGAGGCAGGACAAGAAGCAACGGGTGGAAACTAATCAAGGAGAGAAGCAATCTAGAACTAAGGAGAAACTTCCTGACAGTGAGAACAATTAACCAGTGGAACAACCTGCCTCCAGAAGCGGTGAATGCTCCAACACTGGAAGTTTTTAAGAAGAGACTGGACAGCCATTTGTNGCAATGGAAAAAAAGTTGTGATACGTCGCGACACGTCACGTGACATTGCGAGCTTGACATCCCTGCCTTAAATACAATAAATTAAATGTATGTTACGAACTGAACATATAATTTTTAATTATATAAATAAATATATAAATAAAATTATATAAATAAAAGATTAACAAAAGGTGAGTTCCGGCACCTTTTTTTTTTTTTTTTGCAAGAGAAGCACTGATCAGATCTATAAACTGGAAGACTCTTGAGTCCCTTAGTCTGAAATTAAGGTCGTGATCAGAGGAAGCTGACAGTCTCACCAATGGCCTCTTCTTGCAGATAAAAGTTGAATGGATGCAAAACCAGATGCAAATCTTTTGACCCCATTTGAAATTGCATTGGAGAATGGAGAAAATGGAGGCAGAATATCTAGAAGGCCAGAGAGCTGGAAACAAGCTGGGAAAAGATCTGGTCAAGAACTAAACAGAAGACACCGGAGGAGGAAACCATCCATTCAGAGGTCCAATGCTGGAGCTTCAGGAGTGTCCACTACCAGGAAGCCAAGGGCCCCTGAGAGATTTGTAGCCATCTCCATCGACCTTGCCTTCAATGGCTGCAGCCAGAAAGACACACTAAGGCTCAAATGCTGGATCTGGTGATCCTGGAGCAGTTCCTGGCCATCCTGCCCCTAGAAATGGAGAGTTGGGTCCGGGAGTGTGGAGCAGAGACCAGCTCTCAGGCAGTGGCGCTGGCCGAAGGCTTCCTCCTGAGCCAGGTGGAGGAGAAAAAAACAGGAAGAGCTAAAGGTAGGAAAACCCATTTTGGAACTTGAAAGGGATTTTAAAATAATGAACACATTTAATTTCTTAAATGTCCTCCTACCACTGTTTTCTGATAGATGCGACATTTGAATAACTCTTTGAGCAAATCATAGAACAGTGGTGGCGAACCTATGGCACGGGTGCCAGAGGCGGCACTCAGCGCCCTCTTTGTGGGCACGTGCGCCATCGCCCCAGTCCTAGGCCTTCAGCTGAGTTTTATAAAACCTTTTCGCTTTAGGCCTCCGCCGTCATGTACAAAAAAAAAATGTTTCAATCAATCAGTCAATTTTAACTTCTTGCGGGGAAAAAAAAAGATCTTGCAAAGTTGGAATTGATTGATTGAACTTTTTAGTCCCACCCAGTCTGCTGTTACCACCGCAGTCACGCCCACCCAATGGGTCACATCCACCCAATGGGCCACGCCCACCCAATGGGCCATGCCTACCCGGCACCCGATGATGCATAAGTGGGTTTTGGGTTGCAGTTTGGCCACTCGGTCTCTAAAAAGTTTGCCATCACTGTCATGGAACAATTAACCAGTGGAACAACTTGACTCCAGAAATTGTGAATGCTCCAACACTGGAAGTTTTTAAGAAGAGACTGGACAACCATTTGTCGGAAATGGTATAGGGTTTCCTGCCTAAACGGGGGGTTGGACTAGAAGATTTCCAAAGTCCCTTCCAACTCTGCTATTCTATTCTATTCTATTCTATTCTATTATTACAATTATACCATTGTTAATTGGAATTGTGGGCAGAGGAACAATCCACTTCTCATGCATTATTTCCATATTTTTCATTTTATTCTTCCCTGTTCTGTCAAATCCAGAGATATCTCTTGAAGTCTGTTACAGAATGTCTCAAGAGTACCTTGGATCCATCACAAGATTTGATTTGGAAGGGGATCTCCCATCCAACTGAAGACCCATTATCAGGTAACGGAAGAATCTTTGAAAACAGATTGAAGTTCCTCAAAGAAATTTCAGCTGCCTTATTCTCTACTTCTTGTGGGGAAAGTACAGAAAAAGTGCAGATGAAAGCAACTAAGATAATTAAAGGCCTGCAGACACAAACATATGAAGAACAGTTGCAGGAATTGGGTATGGCTAGTCTAGAGAATAGAAGGACTAGGGGTGACATGATAGAAGTCTTCCCGTATTTGAGGGGCCACCACAAAGAAGTGGGGGTCAACTTATTTCCCAAAGCATCAGAACGCAAGGCAAGAAACAATGGATGGAAACTAACCAAGGAGAGAAGCAACCTGGAATTAAGGAGAAACTTCCTAACAGTGAGAACAATTAACCAGTGAAAAAGCTTGACTTTGGAAACTGTAGGTGCTTCATCAATGGAGCTTCTTAAGAAGATACTGGATAGCCACCTGTCTGAAATGACAAGGGAAGGAGAATAAGGAGAAGCGAAGTGTGCTGCCATGGCAAATAATGGTGCACAAAACCGGTGAGATTTCTGAGGTAAAATAATTGGGGTTGCGTTGCCTGGAGTCCTTTTCCCACTTCAAGACTCTCTTCTTGAAATAGTCATTGCTTTGGGGGGAATTTTAGCCTTACTGGCCCTTCAGTGATTCTCCCTATCACATCTACCATCTTGTCCCCCGCTTGGCGTCATGACGGCTCCTCAATAACCTGTCTTTTTAATCCGGGTCCATCCTTCTCTTTCACAAGATCCCCGAATAAAGCGGGTTTGTGCGTGGAAAAAAGGAGTCTTTGGGTGTTCGTATTTTTGATTATTTCGATTCCTTCAGCAGGTCAATATAGGTCTGAAGTCTCCACACACCAACATGGAGAAATACCGAGTTACGTTTTATGAGGTAAAAGCAAATCCCTCTTCCCCTCCCCCCGCCGCCCCGTTCTGCCTGCACTCTGCAGAGAGCCCGCCAGGTGGCTCCCCCTGCACCACTATAAGAGCTGGCAGCCTCGCAGCTTCAACGAGCAACTGAGCATGCGTCTGCCCGTCTTGCCCGGGGAAAGATCCTCTTTCTCCTGTGTATGGGTTTTCGGAGGAACGGAAGGGGAGGAGTGACGTCACCGAAGGTCCGGCCTCCCTGCATTCCCTCGCCTGGACGCTTGCACGGAAGCTTCCCCGCCTTGCAAAGGAGAGCCATCCAGACGTGACTCGGCAGTGAGCTTCTTCCCGTGCAAAAGGGATCTCGCGCTGGAGGCGTGCGTGTGAAGACCTGCAAAGTCTTCATCCAGGGTCGGAGTCCTGGAAAGGGTGGGGGGAAGCCCTAAGGTCCCATGTTCCCCTGTCGCCCCATTGCATGCAGGGCAAGGCGAGGCGGGGTGGAGGAGGGTGAGAATCAAAACTCCAGACTAGCCATGTTGCACCCCCCCCCGCCGGAATAAATTCAGGATCCCCACGAAGGAGAAGGGGATCTGGGGAGGCATTTCCCCTCTATGTCCCGGGGATAAACTCGGCATGGGGGGGGACTGGAGGGGAACAGACAGAGGGACGGAAAGAGAGAGAGGGACTGAAAGAGAGGGGAGGAGGGAGGCGAGAGAAGGAAGGAGGGAGGGAAGGAGAGAGTGGGATAGAAGAAGAGAGCAGGAAGGAGAGAAAGGGAAGGAAAGAGAGGGAGGGAAGGAGAGAGTGGAACAGAAGGAGAGAGAGTGGGAGGGAGAGAAAAAAGAGAGAGGGGTGGGCATTGCAAATTTTCCAGCGGGGAAAGTGAGGAAGCTTTTGTAGGGAAGCAGCTGGGGATGGACCTGGGATTGCATTGTATGAATTCATCCGTGGTGGTTTGTTATCATGTGTTTTGACTTTAATTGCATGTTTTTGCCTGCATGTTGTGTGTGTGAGAGAGAAAGAAAATGTCTGTGAGTTCACATAAGAAGGAAAGCTTGCAATTGTGCTGGATCCAAAGAGAAAGACTTCCTAAATCAGCCTTTCCCAACGTCAGCGACTCAAAAATGTGTGGACCGCAACTCCCAGAATTCCCCAGTCAACTTAGCTGCTTGGGGAATTCTGGGAGCTGAAGTCCACACATTGTCAAGGATAGAGGGACCACCCTTAATCCTCTTGTAGTGTTCCAGGTGTTTGATGAAGGCTGATCCTGAAGATCTTGCATTCTGCACTCTTCCCCGATCATCAGACGCAACTGTGTAATGTGATCGGCACTTTTTTTTCAAATATGTATAAGAACCATCTCCTCTTGGTTCTTAATTTTCCTTTGGTAGTGCTAGCTATCCATAATTCTAAAATTTCTTTTTCATCTAAAATTTCTTTTTCATCAATCTCTTTTGCTTTATTATTATTATCAATCACAGTAGAGCTGGAAGGGACCTTTGAGGTCTTCTAGTCCAACCCCCTGCTCAAGCAGGAGACCCTATACCATTTCAGACAGGTGGCTGTCCAGTCTTAAAAGCCTCCAGTGATGAAGCACCTACAACTTCTGAAGACAAACTGTTCCACTGGTTAATTGTCCTCACTCTTAGGAATGTAGAGATTCTCAGTCATCCAGGTCATAGTTATCCCAAAGATGCTTTTTCATGAGAGAACTGGATTTTCTTGTTTTTCTTTGAAGTGATGAGAAGCAAAACAAGAAAGTCCAGTTGCCTCTTGAAAAAGCACCTTTGGGATCTCTATTAGGAAGTTTTTCCTTAATTCCAGGTTGCTTCTCTCTTTGACTAGTTCCCATCCATTGTTTCTTGTCCTACCTTCAGGTGCTTTGGAAAATAAGTTGACCCCCTCTTCTTTGTGGCAGCCCCTCAAATACTGGAATATTGATATCATGTCCCCCTCCCAGTCCTTTTCTCTAGACTGGCCATACCCAATTCCTTATTAGTATCGTTATAATTATTATTACTCTGTTGTTTTGCATATACACTGAGAGCTTCCACACTGGAAACGAATTGCTTGTGTGTCTAATCACATTTGGCCGAATAAAGTATACTATTCTATTCCATTTCTCCTCACACAGGTACAAAAATAACTTGTGAACAAAGAGGGAATGAAAAAGCTGTTGAGGCTTCTCCGGGGCTTCTGCACAATGTAGTTCCTGAGAAGAAAAGACCCTTGGACAACTGCAAGATTTCTTGGCTACATTTGAAGTTGTGCTAGAGGACAGAGAAAATGGAGGAATATCTAGTATGCGATAGAGATGGAAAAGGCCCTCCAGAGGCTCATTCTGGGACCTGTAGGGATATCTGGGCAGAAACTGGGCAGGAGGTCCTAGAGAAGAAGACAATCAGTTCAGAGGTCCAGCGCAGGCTCTTTAGGAGTGTCCAGTACCAAGAGTTTAAGGGGCCCCGAGAAATTTGTAACCACCTTCACCACTTTTGTCGTCAGTGGCTACAGCCAGAAAGACACACTAAGGCTCAAATGTTGGATCTGGTGATCCTGGAGCAGCTCCTGGCCGTCCTGCCCCCAGAAATGGAGAGTTGGATCCGGGAATGTGGAACAGAGACGAGCTCTCAGGCGGTGGCCCTGGCCGAAGGTTTCCTCCTGAGCCAGGTGGAAGAGCAGAAGAAGACAGAGATGCAGGTAAGAGAGACCTTCATTTTGAGACTTGAAAGGGGCGTTAATGTTACAAACAGTGTTTGAGTCTTTAAATATCTCCTCAACATAATAGGAAGAGATGCTTAACAGTGGTTCTTCTGCTGCTTGCTCCTTTCTTTCTACCTGCTACTTTCCTTCCAGAGGTCATTCTTGGACCATTTTCCTATTCTTCCATTCTATTCCTACTGTGGACCAAGAGTGTTGCAAAGTTGTGAGGAGAGAACAACATTCACTCCTCTGGGATGATGTATTAATTTTGCAATAGTGGCGAATATCTGTAGCTCTTGTGTAGTACGAGGGTGAAGGTTCGTTCTGCAAGCTTGTGGGTCGGTTTCCGAATGTTTCGTTACCAGGCTAGGTAACATCTTCAGCGGAGTTTAGGGGATGTCAGTGTTGGTGTTCTTCTGTTTATAAGGGCTTCAGGTGTGGATGTGTTAAGTGAGGGTCTTGTGATGGGTCAGGTGTGAGTCATCAGTGAGACGATTGTGATGGGTCTTGTAATGGGGAGGTTACATTAGGTTAGGGCAAGGGCCGGCAACCTTAAACACTCAAAGAGCCACTTGGACCCGTTTTCCACAGAAAAGAAAACACTGGGAGCTGCAAAACTTGCGCACATGCGTGCGAGCGCACAGGAGGAAGGGGCTTGATTGAAGAGTTTAATTAAAAAGAAATAGAGGCTGCTGTGCATGAGTTCTTTCTCCCTCTCCCCCCTCTCTCTCCCTGTCTTCGATCTTCTGCTCACCTGGCAAGCTGGCTTCACGCTGTTCTCCGACAAGCTGACACACATTCTTATTGGGCTGGCTCTCTCCTGCCCTTGGTCTGCCAGTCCTCTTCCCCCACTAAGTAAGTAAAAGTGTGTGTGTGTGTGTGTGTGTGTGTGAGAGAGAGAGAGAGAGAGAGAGAGAGAGAGAGAGAGAGAGAGAGAGAGAGTCAAGTCTGCTAACATTGGATGTTCTTGCTTGCCATATGTGAAGAAGCAAACATATCTTATTCAGCCTACATATCACTTCAAGAGTTAAAGCAGACAATGTTAACCCAGTCAGTGGGAAAATATGCCAGCTAATCATAACAGTATCTTTGCATAACAATGCCAAGGTCAGCGTAACAGGGGAAAATAGGGAGGGAGCGATTCACACTTCAAATTAATTGGAGCATATGATTGATGACTGAAAGGAGGGAGGGAGTTGTGTGTTGTCACGAGTGCTTGGGTGGTGGGGGTTTCAGTTTTTGGCTTTCTATTGTTCGTGCCGAAGCTATGTAGCCAATTAAAGGATTCTTTAAGGTAATCAAGCCTCAAAGTTCTTTGTAAAGCTGCTTCTTTTCGGAACCATGTCAGAGAGAAAGAGAGCTGCTTCCTGCGGAGACGCAGCAAAGGCAGGAGCCCCGCCCAATAAGCTTGTCAGCTTGTCAGAGAACAGCGTGAGGCAGAAGATCGGAGAGAGAGAGAGAGAAGGGAAGCGCAAGTGCCTCTCTCTGTCTCTCTCTGCAAATGACGGAGGACTGGGAGCCGCAGTAGAAGGCTCAAACAGCCACATGCAGCTCCGGAGCTGCGAGTTGCTGACCCGTGGGTTGGAGTCATTGGGAGGAGAACTGGTGGGAGAGGGAGGGGGGCTTTCATGGCTTGTTTGAGGGTTGGTGCTGTCTCTGGTTGGCTATGTGGTTGATTTGGATCCTGAGGGATTCGTAGGCTGATTGTAGGTTGACGTGTCTATTGATGGAATTGCTTGTGGAGTGCCAGGCTTCGATGAACTCACGAGTGTGGCAGGTGGTAGTGTGGCCGATGATTTTAGTGTTGCTTCAGTCGGTGTTGATTCTTGTCGATGTGGGTTGAGATTAAGGATTTGGGATCATGGTGTTTGACTACCAGCCGGTGTTTGTGGATCCTGGTTTTTAATTTGATATAGTAATTCTCCATTCTTTCCACCTGCTACTTCCCTTGCAGGAGTCATTCTTGAACATAGTCCCTGATCATTCCAAGAGACTGCAAGATCCATCAAATTGCTCTCCAAAGCACCTTTCTAGGATGTTCGCCGAGGAAGTTCAATATAAGGACACTTCACTGGGTAAGAATGGATTCCTTCCAAGCAGTGTGAAATTCCACAGAAATTCCCCTCATTGTCTGAATCTCCTCATCCATTGTTTCACTTTTAAAAACTCTTATTCCATCATTTTTATCTTCTTTGCAGAAGATGGAATAGTTCCATTGATATTTCTAGGATCGCCTCCGTGTACTGGTGGAGATGGAAAAGTAACTGAGTCAGCTGTTCAGGTAGGAGGAGAAGCTTCAGAGAAGCTACAAAGAGCCATTTTGAGGCCTCCTGATTGGTTGTGGGGGTTGAAGTATGATATTGTTGCTTCTACGCAAAATGGAAAGAGGAAATGTGAATTCAGTCCTTGACCAGTTACCCTCAGCTTAGCTTATCTCCCTTCTGGTCAAGGTTCAATTGCCCTATTTTCTGTTCTGCATGTTATGTACCTACAGACAGCATTCCACCAAACCCCTAGATCCCTAAATCTAGGGATCTAGACTCTAGAAAGAGTGCAGAGAAGAGCAACAAAGATGATTAGAGGTCTGGAGGCTAAAACATATAAGGAATTGTTGCTGGAATTGGGTATGTCTAGTTTAAGGAAGAGAAGGACGAGGGGGGACACGATAGCAGTGTTTCAATATCTCAGGGGCTTCCCCAAAGAAGAGGGAGTCAAGCTATTCTCCAAAGGGCCTGAAGGCAGGACAAGAAGCAAGGGATGGAAACTAATCAAGGAGAGAAGCAACCTAGAACAGTGATGGCGAACCTTTTAGAGACCGAGTGCCCAAACTGCAACCCAAAACCCACTTATGCATTGTCGGGTGCTGGGTGGGTGTGGCCCATGGGCTGGGCGTGGCCCATGGGCTGGGTGTGGCTGTGGTAGTAACAGCAGACTAGGTGGGACTAAAAAGTTCAATCAATCAATTCTAACTTTGCAAGATTTTTTTTCCCATGAGAAGTTGAAATTGACTGATTGATTGAACCTTTTTTTTTTTTTGCACACGGTAGCAGAGGCCTAAAGTGAAAAGGTTTTATAAAACCCAGCTGAAGGCCTAGGACAGTGGCGACAGCGCGTGTGCCCACAGAGAGGGGTCTAAGTGCCGCCTCTGGCACCCGTGCCATAGGTTCGCCACCACTGACCTAGAACTAAGGAGAAACTTCCTGACAGTTAGAACAATTAACCAGTGGAACAACCTGCCTCCAGAAGCGGTGAATGCTCCAACACTGGAAGCTTTTAAGAAGAGACTGGACAGCCATTTGTCCAAAATGGTATAGGGTTTCCTGCCTGAGCAGGGGGTTGGACTAGATGACCTCCAAGGTCCCTTCCAACTTTATTATTATTATTATTATCCCTACAGTATATGCTGCCTGCAGAATTCTCTCCTTGATTAGTTTCCATCCCTTGCTTCTTGTCCTGCCTTCAGGCCCTGCAATGTCATGGCCAAGCCATCCACCCACGCCCCACAGCATCATCTGCATGTGACAGGGCGCGAGGGCAGAGTCTTCTCCTTGCTGCCCGGCTGCCATGTTCTTGGCTGCGCTGTTCCACGCGGGCCATGCCCGGGGGCAACTCTCCGGGGCGGTTGCTAGTGAGAAGGGGGCCACAGGGGAGGTGGGGCTGGAGTGACGGTGCGTGTGCCCACAGAGAGGGCTCTGAGTGCCACCTCTGGCACGCGTGCCATAGCTTTGCCACCACTGGTCTAGAGCAAACATATCAAACTCGTGATGTTGCGCGACGTATTGGAACTTTTTCCCCATTGCCAGCAATGGGGTGGGTGTGGTTTCGTCGTGACACAACCGGCCTGCAGGCCAGCAGTTTGACACCCCTGGTCTAGACGGTCCTAAGAAAAACAATTATATAATAAAATGTTTACTGTATAATATATACTATATTGTTTATGACCATAATGAAGATTGATTTGATTTTTGATCTGATACATAAACGAGTGCCCTGAAGATATTTTTTTTCCTCAAGTCTAATCAGGGTAAAGACTTCAGAATAAGTATATGAGCAAAAAATTCCTTTCTTTTATATCTAATTGATTTGAGCATTTCTTGCATCTTTGCCTAAATGTCACACAGAAATCTTGCAACACATCCTTCAGCAACTCTGAATTGTTGTAAGCCGCCCAGAGTCCTGCATTTGAGATGGCTGTCTCCATAAATCAAAATAGTAAACAATCAGGAAAAGGGGAAACCACTGAGAAGTGGTCTGCCTGGATTTGGAAGAGATCCAGAATAATGTAATTCATTTTTTTCCCTGAACATCACTGAAAGGTCACTGAAATTAGTTTTGTGTTGGAATAAATTAAAAGTAGAAAAGAGAAAAAAAGAAAGTAAAAAATTGCAAAAAGAAATAAGTTTCCGATTTCCTTTACAACAAATTTAAGCACAATTATTCTAATGAAATAACTGATAAAAAGTTCATTCTTTTCTAATATCCAGGGTTTTTTTCTAATCATCAAAACTACAAATCATAAGTGCACTTTTTTCCATTTCATACAAAAAATAAGGAGTTTCCAGCCAGCCGGTTCTTTTTATTCTAATCAGGCAAGTTAATTTAGCCATCTTCACAAGTCCCATCATCTTCACCACAAATGTTTCTTAGTCTTGCCACAAATGTTTCATCAAAAAAGCCCACGATCCGTGCCATTTTTACATATAATATTTTGCATCCTTCAGAAACAGCCATGTGTAGGTTGCCTGCTTTAAAAATTGGTCGACAAAGGGAGAGAACTGGCAGGTAATTCCTTGAGCTGTTGGTTAACATGTCCCTGTTTTTCCTTGTTCAGGAGAGTTTTGTGTCCTTCGAGGAAGTGGCGGTGAATTTTTCTGAGGAGGAATGGTCTCAGCTGGACACCCATCAAAAAGCCCTCCATAGAGAAGTCATGCAGGAGAATTCCCAGAATATGGCCTCTCTGGGTAAGGACCTCTGCTGGGCCCTTAGAGGAGATATTTTTTTGATGGCATGAAATTGGCTATTTCTGGTCAAAAGGCACCCCTAGGATAAGTATAGAAAGTGGAAATAGGGGCACATAACTAAGTCAGAATATCAGCAAATAGCCCGAGCCTGCAAAGTGAGGAAAGCTAAGGCTCAAAATGAACTAAGGCTTGCTACCAAAGTCGAAAATAACAAAAAAGCTACTTGTCCTATTATTATTATTATAGAGAATCTAGAAAGTGCACAGAGAAAAGCAACAAAGATGATTGGGGACTGGAGGCTAAAACATGTTGATGATAATAATAACAATAATAATAACAACAACAACAAGAATAATGATGTTGGAAGGGACCTTGGAGGTCATCTAGTCTAACCCCCTGCTCAGGCAGGAAACCCTATACCATTTCAGACAATTGATTATCCAGTCTCTTCTTAAAAACTTCCAGTGTTGGAGCATTCACAGCTTCTGGAGGCAGGTTGTTCCGCTGATTAATTGTTCTAACTGTCAGGAAATTTCTCCTTAGTTCTAGGTTGCTTCTCTCTTTGGTTAGTTATCATCCATTGCTTCTTGTCCTGCCTTCAGGCACTTTGGAGAATAGCTTGACTCCTTCTTATTTGTGGAACCTGATAGTTGTGATCTTTCCTTCTTTCCAAAACCTTTGTAGATCTACCATCCCCTGGGCATTGGTTCATATTTTTTTGAACCTGTTTTTGTCAACCTTCTGGCTAGCAAATCCAACATCAAGAAAACCTTACAGCCATATAAGATAACGTTTATTGAATATGCATCCCAGTACTGAAGAAGCAAGATCAACTCTGGTTTTCCCATGCGAAAATCTGATTAGTTAACAATAGCTTTTCATAACCCCCACTCACCAAGTGTTCACATTGGCCAATCATGCTTCTTTGGTTTGTTTTGGGAACGGTCTACTTCTCCGTCAGACACCTGCTTTTGTGACCTTGGCTCTCGTGGTCCATAGATAGCTTCTTAAAACTCCCATTTCTTTCCCAGGCTTCCCCTCCCCCTTGTTTCTATGGCAAGTTGAGTAGAGACAGAGGTTAGCAAGCATCTTAGAAATTCAACCTTGACAGTTTTAATTGATCCCGATTGTTCTAATATTTTTATATATGTTTAATTTTTTTTTCTCTGCAACTGTGCCCATGTGGTAAGAGGAGATTCAAAAGCAGGTGAAAGATAGGCCAGGAACAAAAGCAAAGGATGGGTCACACTTACTTAG